CTTCAGTTATATTTCTCAGCTTGTATCTAAAGAGTGTCTGCAAGGCCACAGACGAGTGCATCTGCCACTTCATTCATCTGGATCTTAAATTTCCCATGGAAACTATAAGCTTGGAATACCTAATATGACACACTTATCAACATGACTTTGATAGTCTTCTCCTTTTCTTTTTCTTCTTATTGTTGTTGTAGTTAAATCCACAAAGCTCAAGCTAGGGTAAAACTTCTGGAGCTCAGTGACTGTTCCATATTAGAGGATGTGACTAGGCCCCAAATACTATGAAGTGAAGGTAGAAGCCTGATTAAGGGCATGTTGGAAGAAAAATAGTCAAAATGGCTAAAATTTTAGTGTTAGGAGATGTTCAAGGAGTAGACTGACTTGAAAAGTAAATATTTTATAGGTAGATTTTTGCCATGGAAATAGGGGTGGAGAAAGAAGGGTAGAAAACTAGAAAAGAAAAGCCTTTGTCAAATTCCTTCGACCAAAGAATTTTGTCAAGACTATGCCATGGCCAAAAAAAAAAAAAAAAAAAAAAAAAATGTTGCTTAGAAACTTGCAGTGACCCATGGCCCAGTTTCAAGAAAAGTAGCATTCTACCATAGTTTTTTAAGTAGGCACACAAATCCCATTGTACAGTCAGGGGCTATGATTATACGTTAGGCTTTTAAAATTTTCTAGGTCCATTCATCATGCAGAATCTGGGCAAATGAAATATAAACAACTCTATTCTGCCATTATAAAAACATTACTAGCAGCATAATAGGACTCAATAGGCAACATGGTACAGGTCTAAAATATGAGTCCAAAGAATTCTACATATAGGCTTTCCTGCCATTGTGCTCTGTGACCGTTAGCAAATTATTTGCCATTCTGGGTCAAGCCTGGCTGGTTAAGGTTAGGGTCATTGAACCAATGATCATAAATGGGGGTAAACTTTATAAAGAAAACTATTTGAAGGTCACATTTAATATAAAAATAAATTTGAAGAAAGAGGTAAAGAAATTATAGATGATACGAATGACTAAGCATAATTCTATCATGTCACCAGGATGCTAAATAAAGATAATTCAAATGCAAGGCCAATTTCTCAGTTATTGGTGTTATCTTTGAATGTGAAAGACAGGACCTAAATATTATCATTCTTTTGTGGCTGCTGTTTGCTCATCTGTAACAAAGTAGGAAAAGAATCATTGTACTCAAAGGATTGTTAAGATAAGTGACCTATAAACATGCCTGCCAAGTGCTCCTTAAAACAGAAATTGCTCCGTGAAAGTCCCAGTAATGATCCAGTGGCCTGGAACAATCCAAGTTCAGTGTCTCAGCCTCTCCACGTCTTTTTGTCATCAGGCAAGTAAATATTCCAGACACTTCTGACCTCTGAGAAGTCATTAGTTTTTTTTTTTTTTTAAAGATTTTTATTTACTTTTTTGGCAGACAGAGATCACAAGCAGGCAGAGAGGCAGGCAGAGAGAGAGGAAGGGAAGCAGGCTTCCCGCTGAGCAGAGAGCCCGATGCGGGGCTTGATTCCAGGACTCCAGGATCATGACCCGAGCCGAAGGCAGAGGCTTTAACCCACTGAGCCACCCAGGTGCCCCTCATTAGTTTTTTTTTTAAGTACACGGATGGTAGAAAGGGGGAATGGGAACAACTTCTTCTGATAGATCCTTTTTCATTAAAACCTTATCAAGAAATTTTAAATTGAGAATTATGCCAGTCTGAAATGGGAAAATAGACCCCAAATGTCAGTATCCAACTATAAATAAAAACTGACAGGCAATAATTAATAAGTCCAAATTCCCACTGATTTAAATAGAGAAGAAGCAATCAATTTTCAACCCATCTCTCCATGATGCTGAAAGGTCCATCTATTCAATTAATTGGACAGCTCAAAATACTTCTAAGATGAGTTGCAGAAAATGGGAACACCCAGGTCTTGGGATAGTTGGCCCAGGACACTTTCCTGACCAAGAGGCAAATCAGCTACAGCTTCTCAAGGAGATCCTTGATCTTGGGTAAATCTGTACTAGTTCTGCTGAGGTTCTAATCTCTAAGCCTGGAATGGCTTTGGAGTCAAAAGGGGCTCCTGAGGACTAAGATTCTTCTATTCTCCAGGGAGAAATGTCCAACCATATGAGTTATGACTGGCAAAGTCACCTCAGAGCATCCCAGAAACCCACTGGACTTGGAATACACAATGGAGGGACTAAGACTGGGGAGGTCTCAAAGTACCTTGCGCCTCCAGAGAGACTTCCTTAGAATTGGGGCTAACCTGGAACAGGGATAGCTTAGGATTCAAAAAACATTTCTGAACACAGAACCAAAGGTGCCATTGTTGAGGACAGAGTGTTAAGAGTGTTACCTATAAATTTCAAAAGGCTGGTAAATGCCACTTGGAAATACCAGACAAATTACTTGTTAAATTAACCCACAGAATATGATCATTCTTTTATATCGTAAATACCATTTCAATGTTTCTCAAAATATGGTGAAGGGATCCCTAGCATCAGAATCACTTGGGGGATGCCTGTTCAAAATACAGATTACTAAACCCCACCCCAGACTCCTGAATCAAAACCAAGAGAACAGAATCCAGCCCACAAACTGAATTTCTAAGGACCAACACAGTTGATTCCAATGATCCATATCAAGGCAGGAGAATTATTTTGTCTTTTAGTCCATCAGAAATTTAAAGACACTCACAGATTAGGGAAATGTGTATTTCCTCCAAAATGTTTTAAGTACCATAAAAATGAAAACAATATTTCTTGTGATGAGTTCTTGAGAACCATTCCAGTTTATTCTGCCCACATATAATAAATAATAAACACCATTATTAAAATGTAATTATGAGCATAAAATAATTGGGAAAAATATCAACTATGCTTCTCAAAAATATTGCCTTTATTTTGTCACCACAAGTAATTATGTTATTAAAGGAATTTATAGTTTTTTTAAGTACCAGTCACTTGGCTGCAGGAACTTATTAAGCTATTATACTCCTCCCCATACCCTTTTAGTCATCAGAATTTTTGTAATAAAGGTTTTTTATTATTTCTTAAACTATAAATTGTGAACCATTGCAACTAGTGATTAGGCTGAACGTGAATTTATATCCAGGTTATAAATTCCTAAAAACATGTTTCATTAGAATTACTAAGGCAGTCTCAACTCTAGTAGATTAAATAGCCCCTGCGATAAAGCTCTGTTTACTTCTATTTAGGATTTTTGGGGGGGGGGGTGCAAAACAATTCAGTTTTAATGCATTCTCTTAAGAAGCAAAAGAAAACAGTTTCTGATATACATGCTACTGCAAAGCAGTAAACCAGTGTTGCATGGTAATGTGACAAGGACCACATTTCTTTTCTAGAGGAATTTTATTTTTTTCTCTTATAAACTCCCTTTCCCCAAACCATGGGTATAATTATTTCACGAAACGTAGTTTGCCATTCCTGAAGAGTCAAATACTCTATTTCTTTCTCACCAAAAATCACAAGTTTAGGCAGAATACTGAATGAAAATAGAACTTGAGAGGCAGTCTTTGTTTGTAGCATGTTGTTCCTACTAAGGGTCGGCCCCCTGCCCATGCTCCACACTAGTGCTCCAACTGAAGTGACTCAAGTGTACATGTTATGTTTTAACAGATGGGCTGGCTGGCGGCTGCTGGGCTGTAAAACAGGAACTCAGAATTTGCACCAGAGTGGTATTGAACTAAGTGCTCATAAAGTTCATGGACATATACACTGACCTAGACAGACCAGGCAGATTCAGACATGCATACACACATGCTCATCATATACCCCATAGATCGGAGGGTCTATCTCTCCAACCAGAACAAGTTCAAGGCTGTTTCCCCCTCCATATATTTCTATCTTATACACCAATCAATTTTACACACACACGCACACACACGCACATCTACATATGCATAAAGCATGAATAAGTCATATCTTTCAATTCTCATACTTTCAAAGATGAAAACATTCCCAAATTGTGTACCTAAGTCTCTAGGACATTCAGCAAGCTCTTATTCACATCCAATAAAAATTACAAGAAAATATTATATTTAATTATATTGAGTCCACACATAATATAAACTACATGTATGTAACTGCCCTCAAAAAAGCCAGCTGCTTTGACCCCTTATCATTATGACAGAGAGAGGAAAAATATTCCAGACTGGTCACAGATGAAGTGTCAGGTTTAACCTTGAATCCTGTGTTGTCAGTTCCTGTCACAACTTCATCACTTGAACACCAACCGACCATCCTGGTGGTCCCTTTCAGGGTCTAGTCTAGGATTCTTCTGGGCTTCCTGCACTGGGACAGACAGCAGCTCGCCCTGGTCCTAATGAAGTCCTTCGGACACACCTTGATAGTGATACAGAGGTCCAAGAAGCTCATGAGGGATGTGGATACAAGTGCTAATAGAAAGTAATTACTGTACAAAGTTTAATATCCGTGCTGTCAATGCCTTTCAGTAACTGCAAAGCACTGAAGCCCCGGCTACAGAACCTAGCTGGTCACTTAAGTTCTCTGACCGCTGAACACCCACCCCGAAGACGATGGTCGCTGGCTCAGGCTACGGCTCAGACACCTCTGCCGAGTCGCCGCACCGTCTCCGGCGCGGGTAAATTTTCCAGAAGCCGGTCCTCAAGCCATGTAGGAACTGTTGTCCGTACACGACTGGGCACGGAGGCCGCCCCCAGCGCGGGTGTCACCGCCGCAGAGGGCCAGGGACGCGTCCCTAGGCCCCCCTAATGATGGCAATTATAACATGCCAAGTTGGTGAGAACGCGGAGCCGCGTCCCGGACCGAGTTCCGACGCTGTGAAACAAGTTCGGGAGTGGGGACACCGGCAAGGAGGAAATTCCGCCTGGCCCTGACCTCCCCACAGCGGCCACGCTCGGACGGACGCACCGACGCCAGCCAAGACCCGTCCAGTGCCCCCCGCTTGCCGAACAGCGCCAAGAGGAGCCGCTCGCCTTGCGCGCGGCCACTCACCCTCCTTGCTGAGTCCGGATCCCAAACCGACGCCCCTGCTGCGGGTCCTGAATCCCAAGTTGCCCCGAACCAGCGACTGCTCTCGTTCTAGAGAACCCTGCACACCGGTTCGGGCGGGCACCTCCGAGAGAGCACGACAAGCCCGGCGGGCGCCCCGGCTCAGCGGCCGCCCGGAACGCGTTGACAATTCATGGACCTGCTCAGCGAATGAGGCGGACCGCGGGGCTGAGGCTACCGGGCTCCGGAGGGAGGCGGGGCCGCGCGGCGGGCGAGGCGGAGCCAGCCCCTGGGTCGGCCCCGCCGGGGCGGGGCGCCTTTAACCTGTGACTGGCGGAGCCTGCAGCCAATCGCGATGACCTCAGGAATCCGGGCGGCCGCTGGCTGGGCCGAGCGTCCGGCTCCGCCCCGCCGCCGCCGTCCAATCCGTCGCTGCCGAGGCCTGGCGCGGAGACGCGCCGGCGGCAGAGAAGTTGGCTACGGTGGGCAGCCTGGGCTGCAGACTGGCGCTGTGGGGGCAGCTGCGCGGGGATTCGGGCGTATTGGGAGGGAAGTGGTGGCCCCAAGAGACCCTGTCTGAGAGAGGCTTGGGGCCACCCAGACCCCTAGGGGTCGCGGCGTATCGACAAGCTGTGGAGGGAGAAGCCCAGCCGCGGCGCGAACAGACTCCGGGTCGACAACGCCCACACCTGGCGTCCGCGGAAGGCGCCGAACTTGGCCCCGAGGGAGCCCCAGCACTCGGAAGAAACCGAGACCCAAAGAGGGTGAGTCCCGGGCCGCACCACCCAGTCACCGTCGGAGGCCCGGGCCCGAAACTGGAGCTCCAGGCTGTCTGGAAGAGGTTCTGGTTGCGGTTTGGTGGTTCTCTCCGAAATGAAACTCGGACTCCGCGGACCTCCTGGAAAGTTCTTACACGTCCCCTCCTCAGCCCTGCTTTCTTACCGCCAGCAACAGGGAACCTGACCAAGCGCCTAGGCTCCCTTCCCAACCCATAGCGCCTGAGTCACTTGACAGAACCGGGGCGGGAGGGCAAAAGGGAGGCTCGGGTGCTAGACGGCAGCGGAGCCCCCCCAGACCCTACCTGGGGTCGGTCTGCCCCGTGGGTAGGCAGCCGCAGCGCGGCTCCTCCTGCTGCTCTCTCCTGAGAGAAGAGGAGGGCCCGGAACGCTCCTTCTCGCGGGCAGGAACGCCTCGGAGCGAGCCACGTGGGTCCCACGGTGTACGCTCACGGCCCCTGCCCCTTCCGAAGTCCTTGCATCGAGCTCAGGGACCTCCCTAGCGGCGGGCACTGGAGGAGCCTGAGCTCCCTAGGCCAGTCGCAGCTGAAGCAGGCCTTGTGGGCTCTGGCCGGCCGCGTCACTGCGGCTCCTTTTGTGGGCGGATAGGTTCTTTAGCCTGTTTTTACGCCCGGACCTTGGCCACAGCATACACACATACGGAGCTGTGGGTGTAACAAGCCAAAAAGCAAAGGGTTGGGTGTTGCTTTCAGGTTGAGGCCTAGAATGTTATCAGGCTCCAGACAGTAGCTTTGGGTGCATAGCGGCCTCTGTTGTACCTGGAACTGCGCCTTCCATAAGTAGGCACTCAAACCATGTTAGTCAGTTCAGCAAGGCAGGAAAAGGGTCAGGCTTTCTGGTGCCCCAACACATTCCTCACTGAGCGTTGGCTCCCTCAGATTCAGAAGTCCTGAAGGTTTCAGTTTCTCATGTGTGAGGGACTACGGACTTTTACAGGTGTTATTTCAGTGGCAGCTTGGCCCTCCTAAGGACATCCTAAGGACCTCCTTAGCTCTCACGAGCAATTTCTGATGAGAATCCCTGGCAAGAAGGAAGGCAAAAGGGCTATAGCTGAAAAGGAGTGAAATGGGAAGGCTACAGCTCAGAGGTGAGCTTGGGCCTAGTTTGGGTTTCAAGTGGTGGCTCCTCAGCTTCCCTTCTCAGTGGGGAAAGGTCCATAAGGCAGGCTGTCAGGCAAGAAAATCAGGGTCTGGACAGTCCTTAGTAGGCCCTGAAAATTGACTTGTGATGCACAAATTGCATGTATTTAAACACCTCCTCATTTAGTGGATCAAAAGACAGGTACAGACAAGGGAGCCCATTCCATTCAGTTTAAACAGTTGCTTACCATGCTGCTTTGTGTCTTGAGAGAATGGCATTTGCCCACAAGAAATTAGCTGTAGACCACCTGAATGGAATACACACCAGGTCTCTGCCTAGGTTGGGATGGGAAGATCATGGGAAAAATGTCTTTCCTTGGATCCTTTTTTTCCCCCCACTCCCGGATAGTTTGCCAACAGTGTTTATCATATTAACACCCTGTGAAGGTTTTTCACAGATGCTAGTGATTATTTTAAAAATCACCTTGGTAATAGGAGGCAAACATCGGCTGTTGACTGTACTTGCTATAGTATTTATGTTAGATGATGAAAAAAGGAAATAGGAAATTTCTTTTTATGAAATAAGTTAGAACTAGATGAGAAACTTCTGTTTCCTGATTTCCAGGGTTTTCCGTCTGTTTCTTTTATACAGATGTGATTATCCATGGGTTCTTAGACAAGTAACTGGTCTCATTTTCTTTTATAGAATGGATGACATGTAAGAGCACGTCTACACTCATTCACATTTTCATTACCGTCTTCTGTTTTAATTGGTATTTGACAAAAGTTTATCACTCTGGCACAGATTTATTCCTTTGGCTGTCATTCTCCCAATGATCTCTTGAATTTCAGCCATCTCTATATTTTACAAGAGAAAAGGAGATCTGTTACTTGTGTAAGAACTCATTATAGTCCTATCTGTATGAAACAAACAGAAAACCATGGAAATCTGGACACAGAAGTCACCTCTTTAGTACTAACCTGTTTCCCTGAAGAAAATTTCTTTCCCTCAAAGGGATGAGGAAGTTTGTGGAATGGCTTGGGAATGAAAAGATTGACGTGAGACCGTGGAAGCAGGGCTGGTGGTGTGGGTGGTGTGTGGTGGTGGTGTGGGTGGTGAGCAAATTTGCCTTCAGGCACTGTCACCCTCTCTGACACAAACAATATTTTGGAACCTTCTAAATTTCAAAAGGGTGTGACTGATAGGAGCTATGGGTTCTAATCTGAGCTCCGAGTGCTGCTAGCAATCAGTTAACCTCCATTTACTCTTGCTTCCTTGCCATAAAACCACAGTAGCAGAATTGGGCTACTCTGTTTAGCTGCTTAAGGGGGACGCAGTGACAGTGGTTACAAAGCACTGTAAATGCATGACATTTATAACAGTAGTCACTGTTGAAAGGAACAAAATGATGTTGATATAGGAAAATAGTATGGACAGAACAATTCCTCTCTACACTTGGAATTTCTACTCATTTTAATCTCACTGGATTATGGTCCTTTCATTCTTTAAATGGAAGTGAGGAAAAAGGGCCCTCACAATCCTTGTTCTTTGATTACCAAATGTTTCTGGAAGCTTTGTATAAGTTAATGCTGTTTTTCCCCTCTTTTTCCATTTCCACTACCTCTCTCAACATGTATTCATTTTGAAAATTATTCAGAATTTGAACAGGCTGAGCTAAAGCACCTTAGCAAAGAAATGCAATCAGAAGCAGCAGATTCTAATACCAGCTATGCTGTAGGTTCATTCTAAGACTACGGGCAAGCCATTAACCTTCCCATACCGGAGTTTCCCAACTATGAAACTGCAGCAGTACTTCTGATTAATCTCACAGAGAGGAGAGAAAACTCATGATAAGGCTTTTTGAAATATTAATTGCCATGTAGAGGACAAAATATCACGTAGGCGATTTTGCAAACTCAAGTATGGTGCTAGTTTGTACACCACAACTAGGAGATGTTTTGTAACAGGGATTGCTCTGGCACAACGTCTGTAGCCAGGGTGCTACCACCCACAAAACAGTGATGTCTCATGCATTTAAGTGACAGTGCAGGTGCCTCCTGTGAGTGTTACTGCCACAGGTCCAACCAAGTAAAAATGTGGTCACAGAAATGCATGAGAAAGGGAAGCCTCCATTCTACAATAACATGGGATTTCCTCAGATGTGCCCTGGAAGAAAAACTACACTGAACTTCTTAAAAATGTCACTGTGAGTACAAGTCTGATGAAAGACTAACGTGATCTTGGGAAGATGGCCTGATAGATAAAACTACACACATTGGTCAAAGGGTCACTATAAGAGATTTAAAAATACTCTTAATTTTAAAACTTTGTAACAGAATAAATAACACTGAGGAATTTGGAAAGGGAGGGTCATATATTCAAGGGAGGGAAAATAGACTCCCAGCCCTTAGAACAGTAGAGTGTTCTAAGAAGTAGGACAGAGAATATGGGCTCTAGAAACACAAAAGACTGAAAGTTGGATTTTCTTTCCATTCCTTCCTAAGTTTGAGACTGTGGATGAGGTGCTGAGCTTCTGTGAGCCAAATGGAGTGGGGATGAAGGGTGTTGAGTTTTCCTCATTGGTTTTCTATGAATCTCACATGAGAAACTTTCTGTAACTGTTAGCACAGGGCTAGGCTCATAGTGGGCCATCTGCCAATGACAATTCCTAATGTTTACTGAACACTCACCGTGTGTCCTTCACTGTTCCATGTCTTTTCATCGAATTGCTCACTTGATGCTAAAAATCACCCTCTTAACGTTGCTACTGTCTCTTCTTCCTCAGAGTTGCTATCTTCTTGGAAGGACCTTTCTAGGATTCAGATCCTGCAGTGGACTTAAAAGTCAGAAGTCTCCTTTAGTAATTTTTTTTTAAACTAACATTGCCTGTTTTCCTGTGGGAAGGGCTAATCCAGTCTTTTGTGGCATCAGGAAATCAGGCTGCATTGAGCACTTGGTAACACGTACACTACAATAAAGGGAACAAGGGATTCAGAATTGGGGACAAAAAGAGCCACAGGAAACAAGTAGTGCTTCAAAATCCCAAACCGCTTTCCAGGTCTCAGACTGTAATCTCCTCAATTGTGGCTTCTAAACAGTGTGCTCATCATCTGGATTTGAGGTTTAATGGAAGTTAGTTCCCTTGAGGCAGTAGTATGGGAACAGTAACTGGCTAAAGAAGGGAAAAATGGATTATCCCTTAGAAATGAATTGTATCATTAGTTATTATGAATACCCCAAATTATGACAGATTCATGTATAAGTATGCCAGGGAAAAGTAGCCGTGAGCTATAATACACACAATCATTTGTTACCCAAGAGAATTTAGGTGCTAATGTGGATGGTTTTGCATCTGTGA